GGTGGCGGCGGCGGCGGCGGCGAGGAGGGGGGTAAAAACCTCAACCCCCCGCCCAGCACCTTCGCTCCGGAGCAACATTCGGGTTCCCCCGCCGCCGTCAACGGGGCGCAACCCGCTTTCGCTCCCAACAGCGCCGGTCGCGGCGCCGGCACCCCCGAAACCAACAGCCTCCCACCGCCGCCTCCCGGCAAGGCGGCCGGCGGTTCGGGTCACCAACCGCCGCCGGGGTTGGTGTACCCCTGCGGGGCTTGCCGTAACGAGGTAAACGACGACCAGGACGCCATTTTATGCGAAGCCTCCTGTCAGAAGTGGTTCCACCGGGAATGCACGGGGATGACGGAGAACGCCTACGGGCTGCTGACCACCGAGGCCTCCGCCGTCTGGGCCTGCGACTTCTGCCTGAAGACGAAGGAGATCCAGTCCGTTTACGTCCGCGAGGGCATGGGACAACTGGTGGCCGCCAACGACGGCTGAGCCGCCCGCCCCTGTCCGTCCATCCGTCCCCTTGCCCGTAGCTCTGGGTTGTCCGTCTCCTTGCCCGTGGCTCCGGGTCGTGTCCATCCGTCCGTCTGTCCATCCGTCCGTCTCCTTGCCCGTAGCTCCGGGTTGTGTCCGTCCGTCCGTCTCCTTGCCCGCGGCTCCGGGTCGTGTCCATCCATCCGTCTGTCTGTCCGTCCATCCGTCCCCTTGCCCGTAGCTCTGGGTTGTCCGTCTCCTTGCCCGTGGCTCCGGGTCGTGTCCATCCGTCCGTCTGTCCATCCGTCCGTCTCCTTGCCCGTAGCTCCGGGTTGTGTCCGTCCGTCCGTCTCCTTGCCCGCGGCTCCGGGTCGTGTCCATCCATCCGTCTGTCTGTCCGTCCATCCGTCCCCTTGCCCGTAGCTCTGGGTTGTCCGTCTCCTTGCCCGTGGCTCCGGGTCGTGTCCATCCGTCCGTCTGTCCATCCGTCCGTCTCCTTGCCCGTAGCTCCGGGTTGTGTCCGTCCGTCCGTCTCCTTGCCCGCGGCTCCGGGTCGTGTCCATCCATCCGTCTGTCTGTCCGTCCATCCGTCCCCTTGCCCGTAGCTCTGGGTTGTCCGTCTCCTTGCCCGTGGCTCCGGGTCGTGTCCATCCGTCCGTCTGTCCATCCGTCCGTCTCCTTGCCCGTAGCTCCGGGTTGTGTCCGTCCGTCCGTCTCCTTGCCCGCGGCTCCGGGTCGTGTCCATCCATCCGTCTGTCTGTCCGTCCATCCGTCCCCTTGCCCGTAGCTCTGGGTTGTCCGTCTCCTTGCCCGTGGCTCCGGGTCGTGTCCATCCGTCCGTCTGTCCATCCGTCCGTCTCCTTGCCCGTAGCTCCGGGTTGTGTCCGTCCGTCCGTCTCCTTGCCCGCGGCTCCGGGTCGTGTCCATCCATCCGTCTGTCTGTCCGTCCATCCGTCCCCTTGCCCGTAGCTCTGGGTTGTCCGTCTCCTTGCCCGTGGCTCCGGGTCGTGTCCATCCGTCCGTCTGTCCATCCGTCCGTCTCCTTGCCCGTAGCTCCGGGTTGTGTCCGTCCGTCCGTCTCCTTGCCCGCGGCTCCGGGTCGTGTCCATCCATCCGTCTGTCTGTCCGTCCATCCGTCCCCTTGCCCGTAGCTCTGGGTTGTCCGTCTCCTTGCCCGTGGCTCCGGGTCGTGTCCATCCGTCCGTCTGTCCATCCGTCCGTCTCCTTGCCCGTAGCTCCGGGTTGTGTCCGTCCGTCCGTCTCCTTGCCCGCGGCTCCGGGTCGTGTCCATCCATCCGTCTGTCTGTCCGTCCATCCGTCCCCTTGCCCGTAGCTCTGGGTTGTCCGTCTCCTTGCCCGTGGCTCCGGGTCGTGTCCATCCGTCCGTCTGTCCATCCGTCCGTCTCCTTGCCCGTAGCTCCGGGTTGTGTCCGTCCGTCCGTCTCCTTGCCCGCGGCTCCGGGTCGTGTCCATCCATCCGTCTGTCTGTCCGTCCATCCGTCCCCTTGCCCGTAGCTCTGGGTTGTCCGTCTCCTTGCCCGTGGCTCCGGGTCGTGTCCATCCGTCCGTCTGTCCATCCGTCCGTCTCCTTGCCCGTAGCTCCGGGTTGTGTCCGTCCGTCCGTCTCCTTGCCCGCGGCTCCGGGTCGTGTCCATCCATCCGTCTGTCTGTCCGTCCATCCGTCCCCTTGCCCGTAGCTCTGGGTTGTCCGTCTCCTTGCCCGTGGCTCCGGGTCGTGTCCATCCGTCCGTCTGTCCATCCGTCCGTCTCCTTGCCCGTAGCTCCGGGTTGTGTCCGTCCGTCTGTCCGTCCATCCGTCTCCTTGCCTGTGGCTCCGGGTCGTGTCCGTCCGTCCGTCTGTCCATCCGTCCGTCTCCTTGCCCGTAGCTCCGGGTTGTGTCCGTCCATCCATCTCCTTGCCCGTGTCTCCAGGTCATGTCTGTCTGTCCGTCCGTCCATCTCCTTGCCCATGGCTCCAGGTCGTGTCCGTACATCCGTCTGTCTGTCCTTCTCCTTGCCCGTGGCTCCGGGTCGTGTCTGTCCGTCCGTCTGTCTCCTTGCAGGTGGCTCCGGGTCCTGTTCGTCCGTCGTTCTCCTTGCCCGTGGCTCCAGCTCACGTCTGTCTGTCTGTCCGTCTGTCTGTCTCCTTGCAGGTGGCTCTGGGTCACGTCTGTTCATCTGTCTGTCTGTCTCCTTGCCTGTGGCTCCAGGTCGTGTCCGTCCGTCCATCTGTGTGTCTCCTTGCAGGTGGCTCTGTGTTGCGTCCGTCCATCTGTCTGTCCGTCTGTCTCCTTGCAGGTGGCTCCGGGTTGCGTCCATCCGTCCGTCTGTCTCCGTGCCCATGGCTCCGGGTCGCGTCTGTCTGTCTGTCCGTCTGTCTCCTTGCAGGTGGCTCCAGGTCGCATCCATCCATCCGTCTGTCCGTCTGTCTCCTTGCCCATGGCTCCGGGTTGCATCCGTCCGTCCGTCTGTCTCCTTGCAGGTGACTCCGGGCCGTCCCCATGGCGGAGAAATCGGACTCACGGGACTCGGACAGCAGCTGGGTGCTGGCGGGCAGCGAGGTGAGGGCAGGGCTGCGGGCAGGGGGAGGCAGGCAGCGAGGTGAGGGCAGGGCAGGCAGGGCTGCGGGCAGGGGGAGGCAGGCAGGGGCTGAGGCCGAAGGTGCCACCCATCCCCCCCCTTCTCCCAGGGTCTGCCCGTCGACACGGTGGGTCCGGAGCAGGATTTGGCCTCCCACGGGGTTGAGGATGAGGAGGCAGAGGAGGAGGAAGGCACCCAGGACCCCGTCACAGGCAGGCGGCAGCCACGGGGACGGGG